TAAAACATAAGATAAATACTGGAATGGCAAGTGAATGACCAGCACTTCTAACAGTTTGAGGATAGGATATCGCACAAAGTTCTAGTGTGTTGCGGACATGCATAATGACCGTGACAGTTACTGGTGGCTAGGCGTCACTTGTGGAACTGAGCTACAGCTATTTCTTTGAATCTTTTTCTTTTTAAAATATATTTTATTAGTGCTTTTTAATTTTATAAAACATTGGACTTCAGTGGTTTATTTTCAGATATGTGTGTAGCATATTTTGATCATATCATCCCCCTGTTGGATTCCCCACTTTTTTCCCTTCCTCTTGTCTGTAATGTCTCCCTTCTACTTTCATGTCATCTTTTGGTTTTTGTTTCTTAGGTTCAACATATGAAGGAAAACATGTGATAGCTGTCTTTCTGAATCTGGCTTATTTTACCTAACATGGTGGTCTCCAGTTCCATTTTTCTGCAAATGACATGTTTTTGTGTATGAGTGAATAATACTCCATTGTGTGTACATATTCCACATTTTCTTTATTCATTCATTTGTTGATGGATACCTAAGCTAGGCCCTTTGTTAAAATGTTGTGGTTTTGTTGTTTTTGTTTTGTTTTCTGAAACAGTTACCCTCAGACTTACAGCCTGTCTTGTTGCCTCAGCCTCTTGAGCACTGGGAGATCAGGTGTGCACCACCATGTCTCATTTAAGATCTTGTTTGAATTTCAACTATTCATATCTTATAGCATACTAAGAACTTTGAATTGGTGTCACTTTTCTATTTATCTGTTTGTTTGTTTTGAGGCACAGACTTGCTATATAGCTCAGGCCGAGCTAGAACCCAATATGCAGCCCAGCCTACGTTTGAACTTCTAGTGACCCTCCCCCCACCTCAGTCTCCCAAGTGCTGGGATTACAGACATGTATCATCATGCCTGGCATATGTGTCATTTTTTTGTAAGGCTTTTCATGAGGTTGTGTGATGATTCAGTTTTATATAGTAGACCCTTGGTTTATGAACTCAATTTGTTTGCAGGGACTGGTTGTGACTCAACTTGGTTATAAGTCAAGACTTCTTTTTTATAAGAGATAATGAAAATACCCATAGTACATTCTGAACTCTCAGAGTACTCCTTAACTAAACTTTTTATAATAAAAAGAGGTTGTATAATGTTCCTGATTTATCTGAAACACCAATAATTTTCTTACTGTATTCAACAAAAAGTTATGAAATGTGCTTTAATTTATCAGAAACAATTTCATATATACTGTGCTCACCATTCAAGTTGACATGTTTGACTTGGAGGAGGGGAGGATGAAATGGAAGGTGGTTATTGTTTGGAAGGAGAGTCCTTTTCCATAACAGTATCAGGAATCTGGCTCTCTGGTATCTTCATGCTCCTTGGTGGAGTCTGTAGCCCACTAGGACCAGCTTCTGGCTCACTAGCCTAAGGTTTTCAGAACTTAAAACTAGCCTAAGGTTTTCTGTTTCTGTCTTTTAACACTGTTCTGTAATGTGATAAGACATTGTCATTAAGCAAGTAAATGCAACAGTTTTTTCTCTGTGTGGGTCTTCCTTATGAATGTTTCTAGCTCAGTCCATTTTTTTTTCAGGATTTCCTTTATTTTAGAAGAACTTTGGTGCACTTTTTTGATTGTTGATATTCACCTTCCTCTTCAAAAAGCTCCTCAGCTGCCAATCTGTGTTGCTCAGCTAGAAATCACTAATGTGTCTCTACAGACAATTCCTCTGAGTCACTACTACCTGCAAGCCCATGGACTCTGCTGTAGTGACAGTGTTATCAGCCACAGGACCAACTGAAGACTTAGGCTTCTCTACGCAACTTTCAAAGTCTCTCTCTGTATAATTTTAGGCCACATTTTTTTCCAGGAAGATCTCAGTGTCTTTGCAGAGATATTGGCCTGGGATTTCTTAATTACTATAACCCCACACAGGAAAGGATGTTGTAATGTTCCTTCTAGAACTCTTCGAAGGTTAGATCTGTATCTGAGACCATCTGGAAACACTTTAGGAATAGTTCTTTGATGTGTAGCTTTTTAAAGTTAGTTTTAACCTGCTGGTCCATAGGCTACAGTAGAGCAGTTGTATTAGATGAGAGGAACTCAACTGAGAGCCATGGGAATTCTTCAGCTAATTCTTCCAAATCTTGCGTGTGAGTAGGAGCATTGTCCATGACAAGGAGAGCCCTGAGTGATGTTTGTCCTTTACGTATTTCTTAACAGTAGTACAGAAAGCCTTCCTGATCCATTCAAAAGCATTCTCTTGTTGTCTAGGCTTTTACATTTCCACATGACCTTTAGCCTATTCTTTTTGACTTTGTTTTCTGAACATTTTAGGGGTGTCAGAGTAATAAACCAAGAGAGGCTTTATCTTGGGGTCACTCATATTGGCACATAGCAAAAGGTTAGCCTATCCTTCATAGGCTTATGGCCTGGCATTTTCTTCTCTTCCTGGATAATATATGTTCTCCTGGGCATTTTCTTCCAGAAAAGGCTGTTTCATCACTGTTGAAACTTGAGGAGAGCAAAAGCCATTTCTCTGTCATTGTTTCAGAGTGTTGTGTATAATTTTCAGCAGCCCTTTTATCAGCATTGACTTTCACCATGCATAGTTATGCCATGAACCCCAGTTCTCACTTTACAATTGTGAAACTACCCCTTATTGGCATAAAATGTTTCACCATGATCACTTGTTGATAGATTCTTTTGTTTGATCTGCATTTGTAGCCCTAGCTTTTTCACAAATTATAGATCCAGGTCATAACCTGCCCTCTGGCTTTTGTTTATCTACACCACTAAGGGTTGGGGATATAGCTCAGTGGCATAAGTGCCTGCCTTACAAGTACAAGGTCCCAAATTTGATCCCTAATACTGCAAATAAATACACATATACATAAATAGTGTTCACACCAATAATAGCCTTTCTATCTCATTGAATACTGTTAATTGTGACTTAGTAATTTGAGTAACATTTATAACAACACTAGCTTCCTTATACAGATATTTTCTCTGTAAAATTGTTGAGACAGTTGATTTGGACATGCTGTACATATTAGCAAGATGGGTCACATGAATGTCACTCTCATATTTCTCCAGTTTCCTTTCTTTAAATTGTGATTGCTTTTCTTACCATCCCTTCCTTCCTCAGCTTCTGTTCCATCTTTTTGGAGCCATTTTGATAGCAGTAATTGTAACGATTATGTAAAGCATTGACTGAAATCACATCCACAAACACCTGCATCTGGGCTCAGACATATATTAGATATACTAATATATGTTAACATACACTTCTCTAGAGTTGTCTTTGTTTATAGACACATAAGTGGCCAGCATTTGGGGTGCAATTCAAGACTTTGGTTGTAAGTTCGACCTAAAATTCCAGTCTAACCCAAGTTATGTGAAGCAGGGTGTAACTCAAGTGTCTACTGTATTATATCCTCTTTTAGTTCATGTTAATGAGTTTGTACAACATAGTAAAATAGTTGTGTGGATACAGGTTAGTGTTGGACATACGACTTGCCTAAGATCCCCTCCCCAGA